GAGGGGACAGTAAAAAGGTGGTAGGATCAAGACTGTAGGTCCTGGTGAAGTGAGAAAATTGTGAGAGTAGGGATATTAGAGGGAGTGAATTGGCCAGACACAAGGTGGTGGCTGGAGAGTAGGGTACATGACAGAGGTTATGGAGAGATCACAGCTATTAATAATAACTGGTGTGACCATATGAAAAAGGTATGAGGTAAAATGGAGAGAGATCTTGAGGAGCATGGAGGGCAGGCATTGAGAGGCCAGAGTGTTCCTAAATATTGATACTGCAGGGATTTTGACAAAGGAATGTTGGAAAGGCGTCACAGGGAGGGGTAACACAAAACCTTCAAGGACTGAGGAGGGGAGGGTATACATGCAGGGGGCCGTAAATAACTGCAACAGAAAGGAGTAGTGGGTGCCATAGTCTCAGGACATGAGATTCAAATCAGGAGAGTGGTTAGCAAGGAGGCAGAGATAATGGTCTGGAAGAGACAGCAATTTAGAAGCATCTGTGAGGCACAGAGAGGCATTCCCTTGGCCCAGTGGTGTAAGGTTATATGAGAGGAAAAATCCCCACTACTTGAGAGAGCTGTCAGGATAGCAGTGTAGCAGTGTCTTCAGAGAGCGATAATTAAGTTTTTCTTAAAAAAGGTGAAGGGACTGCTCAGGTGACTGTTGTAAACAGGGAAGTAGGGGCGTGGTGGGATCAGTGGTCTCCATGGGAGAGAACAGTGGTGCAGCTGTCAGGGTTGCAGAGCGGGAGGAAGGAGGTTGAGATTCTTGCCATGAACAGAGTCCATGCACCTAATGTTTCAGGCAGTCTAAACTCTAGAGGCCTGGAGAACTTTACCACTCTGGTCTTTTGATTCTAAAAAGGATGTTGACTTGTGAGAAGGTAGTTAATGGCCTGTGTTGCTTAAAGCATTTTTTATTGCTTTTGACTTTAAATTGCATTGATGCAGGACTTTTTGTCTATAACCTCAGGATTCCTCCAGTTGAAAAAGAACCAGGCTATGTACATTAGAGTGGAGTTCTAGGTATGAGTTCTCTAGTGTGTAGAAATGAATTAACCAAGTGGAACTCTTTCTAGGGAAGTATGGCATTTCACAGATATAAAATGGGGAAAAGAGGGTCAGGGGAGGCTCCCTGAGAAAGTTCCTGGAACTCAGCCCAGACTCGGTGTTCAGTAAAGAACTGTCTTAGCTGGGCATGATGGTGCATGCCTATAGTCCCAGCTACTTGGGAGGTTAAGGGAGGAGGGTTGCTTGTGCCCAGGAGCTCAGGGCTGTAGTGTGCCATGATTGTGCATGAGAATGGCCACTGTACTCCAGCCTGGGTGACATAGGGAGACCCCATTTCTTTAAAAGCAAAAACAAAAACTTTTTTCTCCTTTGTTGAATGCCCTTTCCCCCCATCCCTGTGCCTATTGCTGTTTCTTTGGATGTTATTTAATTTCTCTGTGACTTAGTTTCCTGTCTGTCAAATGCACATGATCATAGTCCCTACTTCATAGGAAAGTTGTAATAATTAAATGAGATAATACATGTGTATTAGTCTGTTTTCATGCTGCTGATAAAGACATACACAAGACTGGGTAACTTATAAAGAAAAAGAGGTTTAATGGACTCACAGTTCCATGTGGCTGGGGAGGCCTCACAATCATGGCAGAAGGTGAAAAGCACGTTTTACATGGTGGCAGGCAAGAGAGAATGAGAGCCAAGTGAAAGGGGAAACCCCTTATAAAACCATCATATCTCATGAGACCTATTCACTACCACCAGAACAGTATGGAGGAAAATGTCCCCATGATTCAATTATCTCCCACTGGGTCCCTCCCACAGCATGTGGGAATTATGGGAGCTACAATTCAACATAAGATTTGGGTGGGGACATAGCCAAACCATATCAACATGTAAAAGTATTTAACACAGAACATGGTGCATAATATAAGTACTTCAATATGATTTGCTATTAAATGACAAGTGGTTAAGTTCTTGGTTCCCATTCAGCTCTCTTATTCTTGCCATTATGTTTCTTCTTACTTCACCCCCTTTCTCTTACATCTTCTTCTTCCCTTTCTCTCCTTCTTTTTCCACACTTCCTCCTTCACCTATTTCCTCTTTCTCTCCCCTGGCTTTGGGTGCAGTGGCATATGCACCTAGTTCAGTACTCTTTGTGGCCCCCTGAAGTAGAGAAGTCTTGGAGTAGGGGTGAGGCAGCCACCAGAGGAAGGAAACTGCTGGTGGGGACAGTCTCTTGGCCACTCCATCTGAAGTCTGTAGCCACAGTGGCTGCAGAGATGAAGTGGGCCAGTGACAAGAGGCTCAGGAGCTGGGAGGCCTATGTTGCAGGGCAAGTTTGGCTACTGTATGATGTGTGGCTGGGGCACCAGACAGTAGGCAGAGCATGCTATGAAGATGAGGATCATTTGAACAGGAGAGGACTGGGCTAAATCACCGTGTGGAGGGACAAGTGAGGACATGTGCATGTCCTGCCTCGGTCCTGTTGCTGATACCACTATGACTACTCCCATTCATAAGGGTGGCTCCTCCCCACGGAGCAACTCCTATGAGTCAGACTTCTGTGGGAGGGAGCGAGTGAGCAGGGGACAGCTGAGTGTGCTGGCTAAGACTATAAATTCTAGAGCCAAACTGCTTGGATTTGAATCTTGGCTCTGTCACTGAATGAGAATGTATCCTTGAGTGAGTTATCTAACTTTTCTGTGCCCCAGTGTCCCATCTCTAAAACGGATATAATTGGAACAATACAGTTCTTATGAAGATTTGTTTAAATTGACTGTTTACAAAGTGATTTTCATAGTTCATGGCATAAAAGAAGTACCATGCTAGTTTTTGTTATATTTAAAAAAATTTTTAAATCATACAACAATCTTAGAAGACTGACTTTCATTTTACTGATGCCAAAATGGAGATGGAGAGTTTAAGGGCCTTGGCCAAGGCCACAGGGCTACCGAGCAGCAGAGTCAAATCTAGAACACAGCTTTGACAGACTCCAAAGTCCTAGCTTGTAACTGCAATGCTTAACTGCCTCCCTGGACATTCAGGTGGAGACTTTGCTTTCTAGGAGCTGGGAGGCAGGGTGAGGCAGGTGGGCAATGTGAGTCAAGGTGGGTGGTCAGCAATTGGAGTCTGAGAGGTTGGCAGAAGTACTGCTTGAGGACACACCTGGGACTAGTAGCTGCATGCCCTTGGCCCAGCTCCTTGCTATGGGAGAGAGCAGCCTGGCTTCCCAGGCCTGTTTCAGGGAGAGGTCAAGTCCCTTAGGTGCATGAAGGTGCTCATTTCAGCCAGAGAGCTGAGCCTTCTTGGGACTTTTTCCTTCCTTCCCTATTTTCCAGGCGACCTCAGGGAAGTTAATAACCCTTTTGCACCTCAGTTTCCTCATCTGTCAATTAAGGGTAATACTTGACCTGGCTGCTTCCTGGGGATTTTGAGACATTGAGTAGATTGTGGATGTGAAATCATTTGAAAAGCATAAAGCAGTACCTAATTTTCAGATACTAGAGTGATCTCAGACCACATTACTGTGAGGTCCAGTGTAGGCCTCTCAGACCTCCATAGCTACCTTGTGCTGATAATGCCCAGTATCTAATCTCGTGACCTTTTCCACTGGGGTCTACAGTGGTACTTGGAATCTTACCTCCTTTTCTCAGTTTTTACATTTCCCTTGGTGAGTGTAAAGTAATAGTTGAGCAGCAGGTGGGTTCCTGGGAAATTATTTTCCGTGTGGATTTTTATTTTAAAGAGCCAGAGCCAATGTCTGTGTCCAGGCTCCACAGTTGTCCCAGCTCCCATTCTGGGAGCTCTGCCATCTTTTTGGTTTCAGCCCTTGGCATAAGACAGACCTGGGCTCCTGTGCCTGGGTAGCCTGTAACTGCCTCCTCTCATTAGTACACAGTCTTGGTTATGTGCTTGCCCTGTGGGGAAAGGGAGGCATCTGATCCTTTCCCCTGGGTGCCTTTGTCTATCCTGGCATCCTTTGGTGTGTGTGTGTATGTGTGTGTGTGTACGCGTGTGTACGTGTGTGTGTGTATGGTAGGGATTATGTAAGCCCAAGAGGCTAGGCCTCTTGTCAGCTGCCAAAGTTCTTTTTTCCCCAGAACTGAGTTAGCCACCCAACTGTTTCCATTCTCTGCCCGCTGCGAAGCTCTACAGCAGGGCCCCTATGGCAGGTCAAAACATGCTCTGCTTTGATAATACAGAGATTCCATTTTGAGAGAGATGGGAAACAGGAGCGAGTGAGTGGGTGTGTTGGATGTAGGGAGAGTGAGGACATTCTTTTTGGTAAGCTGTGCCAAAATTGGCCCAGCAGCTTGGTCTAAACTCAAAAGTAGGGCTAATGCTGGGCTGACACCCAAATATCCAATGGGGAAACTTTATTCTTGGATCTAGACCCTACGAGACCTAGCAATCTTTTTTTTTTTCCCCATCTGGAATATGGGGATAATTCTACTCCATATGTTCTTCATGTCAAATGAGAAATAAACTTGTAAATAATCTACCATCTAGTCACCAGGAGCAGGAAGTGACATAAGGTTGTGATTCTTAAAGTACATTTTGCAGAATACAAACTGTTACTAAAAAAAGAGTCACTTGCTAAAAAAGTTTGGGAAACACTGGATAAACAATGGCAAGTAGGTTTCTTGTCTATAGGGACCACTCAGGTCCTTCATATTCCAATAATACGCATGGGAAACCACCAAGGGGATATATCGTATGCCACATTTCCTAAATTTTTAACCAGACTTTCTTAGTGGAGCATTTACAAGTCCCTTCTCTACGAAAGACATCTAGGAAGATCCTGATCTAGATCAGAAGAATATTCATTTTGTTCTTTTTTTTTTTTTTTCCCTGCAATTGTATAAAGAAGTGAATTGGTGAAATGCATGGGATTGCTAAAATATGGGTCCTAAACAGCAAGGGAGGTCAACTTTGGACTCTATTGAAATGAATGCTTCCTGCTCTGAAATACTTCTCTCCCTCCTATCCTCACAGCTCCCCTTTGAATTGGAGATTTACTACATTCAGCATGTTATGCTCTACGTGGTACCCATCTATCTGCTTTGGAAAGGAGGTAAGGCCAGCAAACCACATTCCTATGCAACCCTCACACCTAGCCTCTCCCTTCTGTTTTTGGGAGTCACAGCCTCTTGGGTGCTTCCTAGGATCTTCAGCTGCCTCTTGGCTGAGTTTCTTCAGCATGATTTATGCCGGGCACCAGGAAGTGGGGAGATGGGAATGGACGAAGCCTGCAAGGGGTCTGGGGACTTTTTAGACCCGTACTTCACTGGGTGACTATGGTGCTGCTGACTGCCTGTCACAGGGCCTGGGCTTTGTGTCTTGGTGGTGGCATTGCATTTGCATGGAGCCCCCCACACTGTCACCCTCTTGTACTTGTGCCTTCCCCCTGCCTCAATGTGTAGTGTGGGGTAGAAGAAGAGAGTGAAACACTTGGTCCCCTCAAGAACAAAAGAAGATATGTAAGGGCCAAGAAGTCCAGGGACCAGGACAATTATGGGATTGAGGGGAGAGGCAGGTGAAAGAGCAGTGTCACCCATGTAAAAGAAACCACTGAAAACCTTCATTTGATGAAGAGGGAGAGACCACCAACCTGGTAGAGGCAGCCTGGAAAGGAAGCTGATCTATTTGTAACCTCTCAGTGACCCTTAGATTATCCCTTCCCTCTATTGTGTAATAGACAAAAGGAAAGGGAAGTGCTTGTCCATCTAGGCTTGTTGTGAGAGCCACTCCTTCTCAGTGTTCTTTATTTCCTGAAAGTCCCTGTGACTGGAAGACATCCTCTTTCAGTTTTAGCCCCAGTCTCTCGATCTCAGTTGCTGAGACTTTTCTGCTCCTACCTCACTCCAGGCAGCAAGGGTTTCATTTCTACCATACTGAAAGTGGCATGAGGCCACATGGGCCCTTGAGCTCACTGGAAGATGGTCTGGGAGTTCTGCTGGACGCTGCTGCTTCTTGGATTATGCGTGGATGCTCTAACTCAGGCATTCTGGCAGATCTTAAGATCTGGTGTGAGATAGCCCCAAGGACCGGTCAACCCAGGAACATATTACAAGATGGAATCTACTTATATTCCAGAGATTTGCCTCCTGTACTTTGATTTCTATCAGTTCTCCATACTTGCCTAAATATTCTTTGAGACTGCTTTTACCCTGTGCAGCCACTTGGGGTCTCACGATGTCCAAAAACGCTTCCTTTTAATTTGCTATAAAAGCACTATTTTCCCCACAAAGCTTTAAGGAAAGTCTGAAGTTCCAATATCCAGGAGACTTGTGCCATTTCTTAGGTCTGTCCCCTGTGGCACAGGAAACAGCCTCTTAATATTAAGTCTCAGAAATACACGTATTCTGAATAGAACCAGGCAGATAGGTGTTCCTGGGCCTCAGACCCGTGCTACTCATTGTTCCTGGGTTCTGAGGTGTATGATGGAAGTCCTAGCCAAATCTGCATGGCTGTTATTTAAACATATTTGTACTCTAAGGTCACCATAAAAATCTGTCAGGTAGCTGGGTTAGACTGGTCTGACATGAGAAATACCAAGTAGCCATCTTTCCTCCCTCCAAAAGAATAATCCAGGAAGCCACATCCTCAAGACTTGGCTAACTCTAAGATAATTGTATCTTCTTAGAGCAGATCCTCCCGGTAGCCCAGTTCCCTAAGTGGCAAGGGGAGAGATAGTAGGGCTGTAATGAGAGACAGTATGGTCTGTTATTGCTAATAACCCATAGATACCCTGGCGCAGTGAGGGTTTAGCTTGCAGCACAAGTGGAGTGATCTCACCAAACTGACTTTACTCCAGGACCTGAATGAGAGCATCTACCACTCCGCAGAGGTTGATGGGCCCCAGTACCTTCTATCTGGTCAACTTTGAGCTATTTTGAGGACTCATCTCCCATCTCCCTTTCCAGCTCTTTACTGCCATCTGCTGTTCACTTGGGGGGAATTACGAGCATTGAGAGAAACATCTGGATTTCTTCAGCTTTGATCCCAAGCCTTGGACCTAGGCCTTGAAGAGGGAGAATGGATCTGAAGCAAGCTGTCAGAAGATTAGTTTTCTGTAAACCAAGAAAGCCGAGAGTTTGGGGTTTCTCTTCCCTAGAAGTCTCTTGTAATTTTGTAGAAATAAATGGCTTAGCAATTTTTACCCAATACAAAACAGCTCTCCTATAGGTATCTCCCATGCCCAGGAACCCTGTTTTCCTGAAAGGCAAGGTCTTGCTTGAGCATATAGTGCCTCTTCCTATTGTTTGGGGTGGGTGGGTAGGTGGTGCCTTGTGGGAAACCCACTCATCCCTTACTCTTGCGGACCTTATGCACTGTCACAGTACATGGAACCTCTCTCATCCACACTGCTCTTTTCTTCCTCTGGCCTGTTCCTTCGTTTCCCTGTTTCCTTTCCTTCAGACTTGTTGCCCATGGTCCTCTGGAAAAGCATTTCTTTTTTTCTGTGTTACAGTATTTTTAAATTTAATTTTTATTAGATGCTGACAAATTATGCTTTTATATATGTATAGGGTTCAAGGTGATGCTACACTATGTGTATACAATGCAGAATGATTGAATCAAGCTGATTAACAAACTATATTTCTTACAAACCACTCCCAGCCTCACCAGCAGCTCCACATGGGGCACAGAGCCTTCCTATCTCTTGCCTGCAGCTTCTTCTAATGGAGGCTGCTCTTTCTGCCCTGCCCCATATGCTGCAGAGCCCCCTCTGTCTCTTCTAGAGCACTATCTCATCTGTATGTTAGGGGAAAAAGGCTTTCTCTTTTGCCATTCTCTCTCGTTTTTTTCATCACCACCGTCACTTGACCTCTTAGTCACTTCCCTCACATTCCTAGAAGTCGCTGGCCTGTAGCTCTCAGTATTTCCATTACAATTTGAGCCAACATCCTGAGAGACTTCTTGTAAGGACCTCCCATCCACCCCAGCTTCTCAAGGTCTGAGCTTCTTAATTGCAATGACCTCAGCATTTCCTTCCTTTCAGCCACCAGGACCTTGTTTTCCTGTAAAGCTCTGCTGTATGAGAACATAACTGCTGTTATGTTCTTTCTTTGACCCAAATCTCCACTCCTTTCCTCTTCTTTTCTTCCTATTCAGCTTGTATCTCCATGACCTGTCATTGAAACTTTCACTAGCTCCTGAAAGCGTCTCACCTCCTTTGTCCCTTCCAACTGGGGTCAGTGTCCCATCCCTTTTCAGTGTGCCCAGTCTTGGCCTACTGGAGGAACTCTTTCAAGCCATTCTAATTAGGGCCATGAAAATGTCATGATGTCTATTATAATTGTGCTGTCAACACCATTGCTCAATTTATTTTCTGTCTATGGTCAGCTCCTCCACACATTGCCTATTGGGGGAAACCCACCCCTGATATTCAATGTGAGTCCTTTTCTATTTTCCCTAAGTGTCGGCTGGTCTGAGAAATAAAGGGAAAGAGTACAAAAGAGAGAAATTTTAAAGCTGGGTGTCTGGGGGAGACATCACATGTCGACAGGTTCCGTGATGCCCCCTGAGCCTTAAAACCAGCACATTTTTATTAGCAATTTTCAAAGGGGAGGGAGTGCACGAATAGGGTGTGGGTTACAGAGATCACATGCTTCAAGGATGACAAAAGATCACAAGGCAGAAGGTCAGGACGAAACTAGAATCACTAATGAACTTCCATGTCCTGCAGTGTACACATTGTCAGGGTTCAAGAGCAGAGAACCGGTCTGACTAGAATTCACCAGGCTGGAATTTCCTAATCCTAGCAAGCCTGGGGGTGCTACAGGAGACTAGGGCGTGTTTCATCCCTATCTACATCTGCATAAGGCAGACACCCCCAGAACGACCATTTCAGAGGTGTCATCTGGGAATGCATTCTTTTCCCAGGACTGTTAATTATTAATATTCCTTACTGGGGAAAGAATTCAGCGATACTTCTCTAACCCATTTTCGGTAATAAGAGAAATATGGCTCTGTCCTGCCCAGCCCACAGGCAGCTAGACTTTAAGGTTATCTCCCTTGTTCCCTGAAAATCGCTGTTATCCTGTTCTTAAGGTGCCCAGATTTCATATTGTTCAAATACACATGCTCTACAAACAATTTGTGCAGTTAACAAAATCATCACAGGGTCCTGAGGCAACATACATCCTCAGTTTACGAAGATGATGAGATTAAGAGATTAAAGACAGGCATAGGAAATCACAAGAGTATTCATTGGGGAAGTGATAAGTGTCCATGAAATCTTCACAATTTATGTTCTTCTGCCATGGCTTCAGCTGGTCCCTCCGTTCGGGGTCCCTGACTTCCCGCAACAATTGCCCTCACAAGTCCTGTGCTAAATCTTTACCACCCTTCTCAAACTTCCTGTCCACTCTATTCAAACCTTCTGTTCTCTCCACCCTTGGTAGATCCCCACCTCTCCCCACAAATGACTGAGAAAATTGAGGTTTTGGGATGGAAATTTCCTCAACACTTATCTCTACCTCTACAAGCTTCTTTACCCACATCCATCCCTATCTTCCTCCTTCTTATCCTGGAAGAATTGGTGTTCATTCTGTTCTGGCCAATAATACCCCTGTGTGATTAGCTCCCACCTCTGCAGCCTCATTCTATCAATTAATCACTTATGTACCTGGATATTCTTTTTCTTTCTTTCTTTCTTTCTTTCTTTCTTTTTTCCTTTTTTTTCTTTCTTTCTTTTCTTTTCTTTTTCTTTCTTTCTTTCTTTCTTTCTTTCTTCTTCCTTCTTCCTTCCTTTTCCTTTCTTTTCTTTTCTTTCCTTTTCCTTCCTTTTCTTTTCTTTTCTTTTCTTTTCTTTTTCTTTTTCTTTTTCTTTTTCTTTTCTTTTTTTAGACAGGGTCTCCCTCTGTCACCCAGGCTGGAGTACAGTGGTGCAATCACGACTCATTGCAGCCTCAACCTCATGGCTCACATGGTCTTCCCGCCTCAGCCTCCTAAGTAGCTGGGACTATAGGCACATACTACCACACCCGGCTCTTTTTTTTTGTATTTTGTAGAGACAGGGTTTTCCATGTTGCTCAGGCTGGTTTCAAACTCTTGGGCTCAAGTGAT